AGACAGTGAAGGAGAGGGTTCCCAAAGCTGGAGAGGAGCCACTTTTCACAGATCAAGTTCCACACAGAGAAGATGTCTTCATTTCATTTAGAGAGATCCTTACCTTCCCACTTGCTGCAGCCTACTCCATTGAGCTCAGGTGGCCAAATGCAACAGAGGATGGGACTCTGATATCTTTAGTAGCGGTAAAGAAGAGGGCACTTCAGCAGATGTAGCTCACCATGCAGTTTACACCTTCTTGTCTACAGAACAATTTAAAATGAAGCAACCTTGTCTTGATTTATCATTTGTTGTCCACCCACACATTTAGCAGGGTTCTCTGGAGTCTTTTTTGGGGGGATAGAAAGGAGTTCCACATGGAACAGGTGACAGGAAAGGGAAAGGAGACTGCTTTCAGTAATCCAGCTGCATGCACTGAAACCTGACTCATACCCATTGGTTTTACCAGAATGTTTTGTGGGCAAGTAGTGCACTCAGATTCCCAGTGTGGTGTAGTGGACAGAGTGACAAATTAGGACTCTGGAAAACAGGATTTGATTCCCCCCTTGACCATGGGGGAGTGGAACTGGAAAAACCACTCCTTTGGGCCTGAGTCAAAAGTGACTATGGGTGTGTTCTGTGCTGTCAAATCGGAACCAACTTTTAGCAACTTCAAGGCAAGTGGAATATTTAAGGAGTGGTCGAGAGTAGTGGTTTTACCAGTTCCACTCCCCCATGGTCAAGGGGAGGGGGGAGAGAGAAAATAAATCCTGTTTTCCAGACTCCAAGTTTGTCATGCATAGTCACTATTGACTCAGGATCAAACCAGGCAAGATAGCAGTTTTACAATTAGAAGCATAGCTATCTTAACATGTAAAGGGCATTTGACAGGTTGTCAAGAACTGTTGTTTGGCCCACAAAAATATATATGGCAAAACAAATATCTTTAAGATATGATGGGACCCTTAAAGAATATGTATTTGTAGTTTTCTGCAGTAATTCTCTCTCTCTCTCTCTCTCTCTGTCCCCCCTTGACCATGGGGGAGTGGAACTGGAAAAACCACTCCTTTGGGCCTGAGTCAAAAGTGACTATGGGTGTGTTCTGTGCTGTCAAGTCGGAACCAACTTCTAGCAACTTCAAGGCAAGTGGAATATTTAAGGAGTGGTCGAGAGTGGGGGAGAGAGAAAATAAATCCTGTTTTCCAGAGTCCAAGTTTGTCATGCATAGTCACTATTGACTCAGGATCAAACCAGGCAAGATAGCAGCTTTACAATTAGAAGCATAGCTATCTTAAGATATAAAGGGCATTTGACAGGTTGTCAAGAACTGTTGTTTGGCCCACAAAAATACATATGGCAAAACAAATATCTTTAAGATATGATGGGACCCTTAAAGAATATGTATTTGTAGTTTTCTGCAGTAATTCTCTCTTTCTCTCTCTCTCTCTCTCTCACACACACACAGACACACACACACAGACACACACACACACACTCCCCCCCCCACGGCTTTAGAATCCTCTCACTACAAAATGTAAGCTAACGAGTTTGTGCTTCAAATTGTGTGGTCAGCCAAGTTCTGACTGACATAAACGGTTAAGTGTTCTGTATACACAATGGGGACACCAGTGCTATATTTTACAGTGCCATCTGAAAAGGATCAGGCCTAGGGGTGTTTCTAAGCTGTCAGGTCTGGTTGCAAGAGGCAAGCTATCCCTCCTCCAAATGTGATTACACTGTTGTATTATGGATTACAAATTGGGTTACAGTGACGCAGCCCAAGACACCACCACCCCCCGGGGACAACAGATGCTGTTAGCTTAAGTGGTGTTTGGGAATTGATACAAGGACCTTTGGAGCCGCTTGTGCTCCCAGAAAAAAAAAACATTCAGGACAATGAAATACAGCTGAGCTTCATCACATGTGAGCATGCCTTTTTAGAGTAGTGTAAAACTGAGTAGAGTATTTGGGCTTGTGATGAACTATATTTAACTCTAATAGGACACTGACACCAAGATGCTGTCCCTTTAATATGGATATTTCTCCCCTCCTCCATTGAAATCAGTGTTTGCCTATGCCTCTTTCCAACCTCTGACACATCCTGGTTACAGTTAATAAGCTTAGTCATTGTGTAGTCATTCAGAAAGAGCTAAAGTAAAACTGTGTGCACAGTTTTAATTAAAAAGGTTCTTATTGTAGGCTTTCCTTGTGGGGTATATATTTGTTTGCCTTACTACCTGACAATTGAAGACTGCAAATGTATGTTACTTTTATTGAGCAGTTTCTAAGCTGTATGGCTGTGGTGCATAAAAAACATAATCTTTGATTTACCTTTTGATTTGATCTTTGTAGCTGTTTAAAGTCTTTTTTTGCATTTGCATTTCAATATCCTTTTAGCGTCATTGGTATTTTAAACTTTTAAAAAAAGAACTAGCTTCAAAAAAAGCTAATGGGCTACTTTTGAAATTATGTTTGAAAGGCAGAATATTCATATCTGAATAAATATCAGCAATTAAACATAACGTGCCATTTGTCAAAGGAAATCTATTCTTCTTCCTATACATACTTGTCATTTTCTGAAAACTCATCGCCTAAAGAAAAGCATTGATATTAACAGAACTTCAAAACTATTCTTACACTAGTAGTAAATATGCAAAGTTTTATATGAACATGTACACATGGATTTACACATTAGTGGATAAAGAATGGCCAAAGATTGGAACCTTCTTTCAATTTTAATTCAATGGCCAGAATCAGCTAATTGTGGCTGATGAGGTGCCAGGGCACATCTCAGTTATGTAATTAGATGGATGATCAATCAGGTGCTCCAGTACCTCATCAATTAACTACAGCAAGCTACACAAACCTCACATGATGTAATTTGTTTTCTTTCCATAGTGATTCTATCCTGCCTTCATTCCAAGGATTTAGACGTAGGCATTTCATATTCGTATCCCTGGGGATACAAATACAAAGTGCGACACTGCAGGTGCCATGGAGCTGCATTCGCTCCCCCCAGAACCAGACAGTACACTCACTAGTTGCTGCGCAGTGGGCACATCTGTTGTCATCGACATTGTGCCAATCGCGGAAGTAGCCTCCACGACTCCCCATGTAGCTGACCACTCCAGTGAGGAAGCCAGATTAAGAGTCTCCATGCTCAGCTGTTGACAGCATAAGTGGTTCTCTTCCTTCATTTTCATCTGCACAACAATCTTGCAAGACAACAACTTGCCTAAGCCCACCAGGGGAGCATTTGTCTGTGTCTCCCATTACCTAGTCCAGCTCTCAGACTGGCCTGTTACACAATGCTGCTGTTAGATTTGGAACATGCCTGGAAACAAGTTCAAGTCTGGAATGAATGGGCATATTTACAATGCAATCTTTGAAACCAATTGAAACCAATATATTTGTTTTACTCTCCAAAGTTCTTCTCTATACTATATCTCTAGCTATTAATCCTTGTCAAAAGGATTGAAAATGGCGTGATACGGACCACTTATTTTTTTGCATTGTCATCTCTGCTCAAAGAAAGTAGTTTTTGAAGCATTCAGAAAGCTGCAAATCCTATTCTGTAAGAGATTAGCAGGAAGGCTAAAGATGTAAAGGGATGTGCCTTCAAAACTCTGAAAAAGACTGAAACTTCTCATTCCAAAGACTAATTGACAGTGTCTAGGAGCGCAGCAATGGATGCAAAAGGAATAACTCTGAAACATCCCTGCTCCCAGTTTGAAAAAATCTTAAATTGATCTTTTATTTCAGAAGCCTGTATGGAGCATATGTTACTTTAAGGTGGTGAAAAGAACCAGGGGAAATAGAAAGACTTATAACTAACTATATAATTAATTATTATATAACGTATGAGAAATTGAAGATTTTTATGGTGTACTATTTTAAAAATACCAGAAAACTGGCACATATTTTCATATGTGGTGGGAATGCGACAGTGTGATGAAATTTTGGCAAATGGTATTTGGAGAAGTAAGAGAAATAACCAAACAAAATGTAGAACTATGTCTTAAAATAGCACTTCTGTCAATATTTGATACAGTGAAATATAATTTGGCAACTATAGAATTAATTTCTAATTTAGTCACAGCTGCTAGATTAATTATAGCCAAGAATTGGAAAATAAAACATAATTTTCAAAGGTATACAGAGGTATGGAATATAGCTATTAATGACAAATCAACATATAATATTAAAGTTTTAAAAAAGGAGTGCTTAAAAGGCATACTTTTGCAGAAATTTGAGGAGATTTTATTGATTATGCATTAATAAAGGGGAACGGAAGAGCACCATTGCAAGAAACGTTGCAATTTTGGAAGGGGGATCCTTGAAATAAAGGAAAAGGTCTAGCCCTCTATTCATCCCGGTGCGGTGGGGAGCACTCTGTTTCAATTTTTGTGTGTGTAATTATTGTATTTTATTTGTTTATTTGTTTGTTGTTCTTTGGTTTCTTACAATATGTTTTCATTTAATACAGTTTTTAAAAAGGATTCAATAAAAATAGGTTGCCATGTTCAGTGGACTACAGTTTTAATCAGTGGCTTATTAGATTTGATCTAACAGGTCAACAAAGAGGAATGTGCAGTAACTAAATGTTCCTATAGCCCTAACTCCCCTGAGTGTCACCAAGCATGATTAATGGCAGGAGACAATGGGAGACATTCAGAGACACGTGAAGGGCCTCAAATTCTTCATTCTTGTCTTTTAGATCCTGAAATCCTAGATAATAATTTCACTACTGCAGTAGCTCAGAAACGAATCTTATATTTTGCAAAACTGGGCTGCATCTGTTGTGACCATGCTTCTGGAGCCAATGCAGGCCACTTTTCACTGAAAACATTTTCGTACCTCCTCTCAATCTCCTTCCCTCTCTCCCCTTAGCATCAATTCTAGATTTCTTCATAAACTCTTTCTGGCCTCTGTAGCTAATCCTGTGTTGTCCAAGAGCATGCGGATTTATATCTGTGGCTTCACTGACATCTTTATTTTTTATTTTGTGTTGCATTCTGCAGTTTTGTGCAACGCTTGGAACCACAACCTGTTGCTCCTTTGACAAGCTACTAGAACTGGGTCCAATCTGTAAGTGAACAAGTGTTTGTTTCATCTCAAAGCTGAAACTCCATTGCTTACCTGTCATACACAACTTGTCTTTTAATTCCCAAGGTATTTCACCTTGTAATACATCATTAAATACTCTGAAAAAGGCTTGTACAGGAAAACATCCTGGTAGGAAAAATAGGATAATCTGCTTCTACCGTGTAGCTAAACACTGTTGTGACAACATGTCTAGGTTTTTTTTTAAAAAACCCCCAGCTCTACTGTTAAAACCAGCATGGTTGTTGCTGCTGCTGTTGCTATGTGACATGAAGTGACCCTAATAGGGCTCTCAAGATAAGTGAGATATTTAACAAGTGACTTTTATAGTTTCACAACTCCCAATGAGCTTCCATGACTGAGTGGGGATTTGAACCCAGGCCTCCTGAGTCCTAATCTGTCATTCTGTCCACTACAACACCCCGGGTATAATGATATACTGTAGTTACTAGCAATAAAAGAGATAGAAAGAATGATTCCTGCCTTTGCCCATAGATTGACCAGCATATGTACTTCTTGCTTTTAGATGCTGGCAGGAATGCTGGCAAGCCTTTGGGTCTGAGTCCCAAGTTCAAGTCTGAATCCCTATTAAAAATAAGCCTTTTTCCCCAGAAAAAAGGGAGGGGTGGGTGGGTTCCGAGTTGCAAGTCGGCAGCCGCCGCGGGGGTGTCAGGTGTTTTTTTTTAGACAGTCTCTGGCTGTCTAACCCCCCCTCCCATGAATTGACGAATAAATCCACACTTTATCGGTTTGTGAGGGGAAGCTTCACTTCGACGGATCACAAAGTAGGACGAATTCGTCCCCATCTCTACCAGAGATCGTGTTTGTACATCAAGGCCTTCAAAGCTGATCGAAGACTAACAATTTTTTAAAAAATTTATTTATTTCTAAAGAATGAAAAGACAATCGACCATATTACAACTATTAAATACAAAACTATTCCCCACTATTTTCCAAATCACACATATACCTTTCCCCATCACCTTTTAAAGAAATATTGACCAACAATCTAAGTCTCTTTTCAAACCACATGTCTCAAAGTCTGTTTTATCGGCATATTTTAATAATGGCTTCCAGTTTTCCGTGAATTTACTACGGCTTATTTCTCCTCTATGTACTCTAACTTTATTAGTCATTTTTTCCATCAGCAATGGAAAAAGACTAACAAAAAGTAAAGTCAGAAAAATGGAGTAACATAGGGCTGTTTTCTTCCTATAATTTCTTATGCCTGGGTTAGAGGCAAGTACTACAAGGGCCATTGCCAAGTTTTAGGAGCTCTGATCTTTGTGTTGAGCTGCCTCTGCCCTAGCCTGCCTGTAAACATGTTCCCACCTGAAGCCTGTCAGGCTGGGTGGAGGAAAGTCCTTGTGTACAAAATGGCTGCTAGTTTAAGCCACATAATATTTCCCCCCATAATGGCTTTTGTCTTTGAAACTGCAACTTGAGGAGCTGTTTGTCTTAACAGACGGCAAAGTGCATATTGGACACGAAATCATTAATCCTTTGGTTAGACTTCAGAATCAACACTCCACTGTTTTAGGAGATTTCAGAAATTTAGTTGACTTGCACATATCTTTTTTTAAAAGACATTACACCGACTGCTACCAAATCCCACCCACTAAGTCAGAGATAAAAACTTTCTTGTTTATATGGTTTTTCTCTTTGTAGGTAATCAGGAGAATATTTGGATGCATATTGATGCAGCCTATGCTGGGAGTGCATTCATCTGTCCTGAATTCCGTTACCTTCTCAATGGGGTGGAGGTAAGTGACAATCCTGAGAATGCTAGATGAACTCCACCTAAAATTTTTTAGCTGTTGACCATTGTTATGAGTCTTGTAGTCATAAAAATGCTATACTAGGGTGTATCAACAAAGGTATAGTCTCCAGATCAAGAGAAGTAAAAGTACTATTGTATATTGCTTTGGTCTGACTTTAGCTAGAGTAATGTGTCCAGTTCTAAGAAGAATACTGAGAAGCTGAAACATTCAGAGGAGGGCCACCAGAATGGTAAGACATTTGGAAGCCAAGCCTTATGACCAAAGGTTGAGAGAGCTTGATATGTTCAGCCTGGAAAAGAGAAGGTTGAGAGGCAATTTGATAGTCATCTTCAAGTATTTGAAGGGCTGTCACGTGGAAGATGGAGTGTGCCTGTTTCTTTACAGCTCAAGAGGATAGGGCGAGAAATAATGAATTAAATTTACGAAGAGTTTTCAACTAAATATTAGAAAGAACTTCCTAACAATGAGAGGCATTCAACAATGGAATTGACTGTCTCAGACAGTGGTACTATCTCCTTCATTGGTGATTTTAAAGCAGAACTTGGATGGACAACTGTGAGGAATGCTTTAAGTATGAATTCCTTGCATTGGGAGGGAAGCGAACACGACAGTCCATAGGATCTCTTCCAGCTCTACTGTTATGTGATTCTATGTACAGGTGTTTCCCCTGGTATAGTGGAGTTGATTGGTATGGCATAAGCTGCTGACGTTTTCCTCTCTTCCTTAATAACACCTAAAAATAGACTTGGTTTAACAACAATTTCTCCCTCCTAATTCAGTCTATACATAATGGGGAGGCAAAAGCATACCTTCATCGGGTGCACTTGTCCTGTCAGGCCTGTGTGGGGGTTTGGAAACTGAATGAAATGACTGCACATAAACTCCAAAAGGAGGTGAGGAAAGAGAAGCTTAGATAATGTGAGCTGACTATAAATATTGCTCTTGCATATGCTCAGGCCTGTTTATTTTGGTTATACACATGCTGGCTTATTTGGGACAGAATCTTGATTGTGGATGGTGAATCCGTGTGATCTCTGACACTCAGTTCTGTGTACTTTTCCTGCCTTTTTGCTGTGTTCACTATCTGATGACTCTTAACTTTCAATCACAAATGTGAAAGATGGCAATGTATACAATACTTTGGCACAAGAATAGTCAAGAACTATGGTGGGCCATTCCATGAATTAATGCTGGAATATCCTTTATACCAGAGGTCTCCAACCCCCAGTCCATGGCCTGTGCCAGGCCGTGGCCTTAGCCGAATGGGACCACGGAGACAGACCTCCCCCCGCACAAGCTTTTACTCCCGCACGCTGATTTGCACATGTATGCATGCTCCAGCGCACCCACATGAGTGCCGCACCACCGTTTGCAAACGTGTGCGGGTGCTCGTTCGCACAGGCATTCGTTTGCACAGGCACTTGAGCACAGGGGGTGTCCCACCTTCCCCAGCCAGTCCACATGGTGAAAAAGGTTGGAGACCCCTGCTCTATAACACCCTCTGCTCAGAGAAAAACAAAACAGTACAAAGCCACAATAAACAGAGAAGAAATGTTGCTTTTCTGCTTGGACATAAACATAGATAATGGCCAGTATCCTATTTAGAACTTTAGGGCGATCCTGTAAACATATACTCTCTCTTTCAAGCTCCCTGGTGCATGACTGCTCTCACACAGTTGGCCGTGAGATTGATCTCACAAATAGTGGGAGACTGGGCACACAAAGGGCAGGGCTGTCAGCAATAGTCCTTCCCCTTAACACGGGGAAAGGGGGAATATTGCCAGAAATGCTAATATTGCCTATTATCTAGCTGAACATCATAGTTTAAACTTTAGAGCTTCCATATTGAAAATTATTATGACCATAACAGAATTCAACCTCTGGTAGGAAAGGAGCAAGACACATATATTACTTCAAATTAAAAAGTTCATTAGTGACCAGTGTCTTTGCCAGGATCATGGAGGAATATGCATTCTTAAATTCATGCTTAAGGATACAAAAAGGCTGGATTGGAAAGAGTTGATCTAGCTCAGTGGGTTGAAGTGCCAGGCTGCAAAGCCAGGATGTGGGAGTTGACTGTGTCTCCCAGGAAAGGGGAAAGCCAAAATCACACAGAGCATATGCAGTTGCCATCTGTGCAGTTGTGGGCAAGCTGCACAGTCCCAGAGTGCCAGCTGAACGAGGGTGTGGTAAACCACTTCTAGGCACAATATGCCTAAGAAATTATAAGTCAGAATCAACTTGATGGCAAATATCATCATCATAAAGGACACACAACCACAGAGTGGTATTCTATTTAAAATGCTATGTGCACTGGTTTATTCATACAACCCCCCCTTTCCCCCAATGCTGACCTGCTCTGAATGTGATCTTTTAGATACAGGTACTTCAATTTCCTGTGTCTTCCTCCAGGCTGTCAGATCAACCCATCATCTATGTCTGTAGAATAAAGAGAATATTACTGCTCGGTGGAGGCCAATAACTAAATAATGTCAGTGCATATGAGCTAATGAAGAAAAAGAATAAAAGCTCTATCTAGCACAACATCACTCTTTCGTATTTTTATCAGCAAACAAAGCTTGCTGCAATTTCCTGTGTAGGTTTTATTGGCTGTTGAAGGAAATGAATCATCACTTGCAGTGTGGCATAGCATCTTGCAGGATAGCAACCATTCAACAAGTCTGAATAGATTTTCTGCCTCTAGTCATAAGGGATGGCCCCCTCCTTAGGGTTGGTCTGTGACTTTTCACAAAAGACAAAACAAAAATAGTCTGCTTCCAGTAGACCCTAAGCTGTTCTGCATTTATCTTTATTTGTTTTTATTTTTATTTGTTAACTTAGCTACTATTACTAGTGTATTCTATAATAAAAGAAGAGGATTGCGACGGAGAATTGAGCAGCTTTGGCTTGCAGTGAACAATTCCTCACTCTGCCTTCTTGACAGGTGCAAGACTCAATGATCCATAGGATCACTTCCCACTCTGCAGTTCTAAGATGATGATGATGATGATGATGATGATTAAAAGATAAAAGACCTGGCAGAAATGGGTTGTACATAGGCAGAGACACTCATTCCAAACTCTGAATCTTTTATCCAACTCAAACTACATCATATGATAAAGCTGCAAAATAGGCAGTGCTTCAATTTATTTTTGACATCAGAAAATGCTTTTTTTGTTGGAGAAAAACAGAGTTGTGACTCTGTTGGTTGGGCGGTTTGCTGCTCAGGGCAAACTGTAGGCTCTGGGCTCATTCACATGGGCATTGGTCCCACTGTTTGCTGTGGGGATGGATTGGGTCATTCTTGTTTCCAGTGGCCATATGACATAATCACTAGAATGGACTAATTCCTTGATCAGTGCTACACACAAGGCAAATAATCCTTTTTAAAAATTTAATCTAAGCTATTCAGTACATCAGCTGTGGTCTAGTACATGCACAAATAATAATTTCATTTCCCCTGCCCCTCTGCAGAGGAGTGGGGAAGTGTAAAACTGAAAATAGAAAGAGGTGGAGGATTATTTGAGCTCAATATGCCATTTGGACACCAGAATCTATCTGGTGACAAAAAAAACAACTTTCTTTCTTTCTTTCTTTCTTTCTTTCTTTCTTTCTTTCTTTCTTTCTTTCTTTCTTTCTTTCTTCCTGTGACTATTTTGTGACAGTTCAATGCAATGTTAAATAAATTTTAAAAAGAATGAAAACATGTTTACCTAACCCACTAAGTAAGCAAGTAAACAAACTCTCTGGTTAAGTTGAGTTTTTCAATATTTCCCATATTTAATTAACGGTATCATGATATGCATACAGCTATCTTCCAGGGCTGTCATTTTATAATGCTAATCTGCCTGTTGTAAATTTGTCTCTAATTGTTTATTGATCTTTTCAGTTTGCAGATTCATTTAACTTTAACCCACACAAATGGCTCCTTGTGAACTTTGACTGTTCTGTTATGTGGTAAGTAGAGGAACTGGCAGTTCTGTCATGGTACAGTATCTTGTTAAAGACCGCTTGTAAATTATATAGGTGCTGTTTACATGTTATGCGCCAACATATTATCAAGGTATTATCTTTCCAGAAACAATTTTAAAAAGAAAGCTAGCAAAGTACATCTTGCTTTGAGTTATAAAATAATGTGAAAAATCAGGCTTAAGTTGGTTAAATTTGACAATCACCAGATTTGTGACAGAAAGAAATTACTATGTCTAGAGGATTCACACAAAGATGGATCTTTCCATTTGAAGCTCTATAAATCAACTGACCAAATTTTATTCACAATCTAAATTTTGTAATTTATTAATCTGCTATTCTATTTGATTGAAGAAGTGAGTGAACCTTGTCCCTCTAATTTTAATCACAGTGTTTCAACTGTGATTTTCTTTATTTCATTCTCAAAACAATAGCTATCCATTGAATCACCCCTTTTGAAATAGCTTCAGTTTAAGACAACATGCTAACAGGTCATTTGTCTTTAATGTTTCCGCAGGGTAAAGAAGCGATCCGATTTAATATGTGCCTTTAAAATAGATCCTGTTTATCTGAAGCATGACCACCAGGAATCTGGTAAGGTGCCTTTTAATGATGATATATTTAGTTCCTAGGATGAAAACAATTCTTGCCTGTTTCAATGTGCATGTATCCCTTTAACCACATTGGGATTAGGGGTGTCAGACCCTGTATAACTCTTATGCCTTCAAAATGATAAACTAATAGTAATAAAATATAATAGCTTTCTTAGAAAAAGAAAAAAAGATGTGAGAGTTATCTGAAGAACTTATGAAGCAGGCAATAAATTCTTCATAGAGGGGAAGTGCTCTTGATCCCAGCTGTTAAGGGCTTTAGCTATTGGTCCCTCAGAAAAAGAGGGCTTTTTGTTTCAATTATGGTAGGTTTTTTTTGTGGTTTTGTGTGTGTGTGTGTTTTTGTGGGGGTTTTTTTGCACCTATGCAAAAGACTCTTGTCTAACAGAGAAACTGACTGGACCCACTAGTCCCTGTTCAGTTCCATTGCTGTTTCAGGAAGAAATAGAAGACTGGAATTTTCCCCTCTGATATTCCCAGCAGATGGTGAAAAGTTGTGGGGCTGTACTGTGTTAGCATTATTGTAAAAGAATGAAAATATTTAGCATTGCATGGGAGAGTTCCTTGCTCCCATTCATGGACACCTACAGCAACAAGCTCCATTTGCTGGATAAGGAAGAATGACCAGAGCAGCAATGAGGGCCAACATGATCTCTAACACTATCCATGCTGTTTCTGTTATTTCCCTTTCTCTGAACACAATCACTCTTCCTTCAGGAAAGATTTCCATGCGCTTCATTGATTTTCACACAAAGCTAGCAGTAAGACATCCAACATGCTTCTAGAATCATCCAAGCTCAGTGCTTGAGGCTGAAGACAGATCTGAGCACCTGTCAGATTAGCCACTGTGCAGATTACAGAGAGTTCTTGCAAAGGATCTCATGGAGCTCCTTGTCTTCAATGCTTAGCTTAGAGGAAAGACCCCTCAAAGTCTTCTGTTTGGGAACTAGCCAACTGAGGAACCTTGTGCACAGCAGCAGCAGCCCAGAAGACCTGGTGCTCTGCCATCTGGTGGAGCTGCCTGATATTCAATTCTTCAAAACCCCTCCATTTTATGAAAGTGGGATATTCTGCTTATGTATCTACAATTCTAAATGCCAAGAGATGGCTCAGCATTGTTGCACAATATTGTGCTACCGTTGCCAACAGATAAAAGGATGTCCAACTTTACATAGCAAAGGGCAGTCTGAATGTTGGTAATACCCATGTCAGAAGTTAAGATGGTGTACAGGATACCTTCTTGTGCTCACTAACATTCACAAAGAGAAGCCAAGCAGGGGAAAATCCCAGAAATGGACTCCTTTTTAATCAATTAGCCACTTCTCATCCAAACACAAAGCAATTATCATGGCTGTTTTTCAACAAGTTCTCTGGAGTAATCAAAATTCCTTGAAGAAATGTTTCTTCAGATTAACTGCCTATGCACTCAAGTACATGTTTGTACAGCTGGAAACTCTTGGATTGTTAATCCCCAAGGATTTTCCAGGAATTTGGAGTGCTTCTGGCCCATGCATCCTGGTGCAATGGACACCCAGCCATGTCTATTAGAAAAGAAGTCTCAGCCCTGTACCACATATACTCAGGTTTAAAACAAAGTGGCTGGTTTTGCCTTTTGAAAGACCTTTTTGGAGGATGAATATTTCAACCCTTACAGCCTGGATTTTTTTTCCAGATTTAAAAAAAAGCATGTAGGGCCAACCATTCTCTTTCAAATAAGCAAGAATGATATTTTCAATTAATGTAATTTGTTTTAAATCTGGGAATATTAAGGGTCCTCGATTTCTCTATGGGGGGGGGGATTTCAAAGATCCTTTCTCAATCTTCCCCAAATTTGGCACAGAGCAAGAGCAGACTGCCTGCTGCAACTACACGAAAGTTGGCGCTGATCTGAGGCCTATTTTAAAAGTTATAGGTTTTATTTGAGCTGCCCCCATTTTGGAATTGCCTTGTAGAATGCTGATTTACTCTGTCAACACAAGATCATTGCTGTAATCTCATGCAATAAAAATAAAGGCTTCCCTGCTGCAGCTTCTAGTGAAAATGAAGTAGACCATGAAAAATCCAAGGCAGTCAACTTCAGTTCAGTTAACCGAAAATCTAAAAAATGTTGGCTTGGTTTGAGTGCTGACCAGAGATTTTACTGTTCTCTTGACAGGAGACCCTAAATGAGTCATAAACTAGTGGTCTTTAATAACTCACTTGTGCAGATTTGATGGTCCATTTCCTCTTAACAAGTCATTAGTGAAAATGATTTTAAAAAACACAAGCCTGAAACACAGATTTAAGGCCAAAATGCTCAGCTTTCCAAAATATAATAATTGATTCTTACCCTTCAGTCTTTTTGCCAGAAGCTACCGTAATCTGCCAGACCAGAGAACTGATGCATGACACACATACACCAGGAGTCCTACAAAATGTCATAGACCTCCAGAGGAAAAATAAAAAACATATATTAATTACAGCTGGCATTTATCCCAATAAAGGGTTAACTCCAGAATGAACCCAAAGACTTTGACAATTATATAAATATTCATCTGAGTATCAAATATTTTCCTTCTTTCAATAATTTCAGTCAATATCAGCTTGTCTAATTCTACATGATTTATTTCTCTGCATTGCTTCAATGTTCCATATGCACAAAATATTTCAGAAGGTAACAAGTCAAAATATACTGAAGACAGTCTTACAGCTATGATGAAACTTGTAGGCATAAATAATATAGTATGAAAACTGCAGTTACATTGTAGGAAAATATTGGTCAAAATTCCATCCACAACTTTATGTAATCTTTAGCTGTACTTCAAATGACTTAGTAAAATACGTACCAAAAATGATAAAACTAAAAATATATTTAAGAAAATAACTTTCTTAGCCTCTAAGCATATTATTAAATACATACTCAAAATGATTCTAAATGTTCACCCCAGCCAAAGCAATTAAAGTCTATGGAGGAAAATCCATGATGTTGGTTGTTCTTTGCTTTCTGGTGCCCAAAGCAGCACTGTGATGATGTGATTAATGCCCTATGTGTCTGTGTCCTATCACACCTATTTATAACTCTTTCAGTTGTTTTCCTTTTCTCCCTTTCTCAAAACATCCGTACCGGCAGAGTTAGCACATTCTAAGGCCCTAGCAAAAGTTTTTAAACAGAAAATTCTACTGTACTCACAGTCTTTATGACTCTAGAGATTTGCAGATTTATATTTGGTCAATCTCCATTATTATAATTTCCATTTGATTTTATCAGTTTTACAAATCTTGTGACCCTGAGATGAAAAAGACAAGATGAAAAATACTGGTGTATTTCAGTTGGTTACTTGTTCCAGACACTGGGGTCAGCACCAAAAAGGCCTTGTTAACACCTTTTTGGCCTTCCCTGGTATGGTTGCTTTTAGCTTTATGGATTGAGAGGAGCAGGCAGAATGGGCACCTGATAAACAATTAAGGGCTTTATAGGTAACAAATAGCACCTTGAATTGAGCACTGAAACTGACGGGGAGCCAATGAAGGTGGACTGAGGCTAAGGATATACACATGATTGAATTTACTAATCCTGTTTATCTATGAAGGGGGAAGCAAATCAGAATGTCTGTCACTACATTTATTATACAGTTAGTGTGTATTTCACGAACATATTTCTGTGCATAAATCAAGTAAAAGTTAAAACATTTGTGAAGTGATTTTTGGAAGTAAAAAAAAGCTTCTTCAACTCCAAAGACAAGTCCAATCTTGGTTAGGAGACGAATCAGTTGATGTGAGATGTAGCATATGAATCACAATTCTAATACACTCCCCTTTCACCCTCTAATAGCAATATGGCCAAAGCCCTGTTACTTCATTACTCCCCTGAAAGTAAATGGCATAACTGGAGGCAGCTTCTTGCTACTAATTGACAAGTGTTTTCTCAGATTTTTGCATGTATGCCATTTTAGTGGATGGTTATGTGACCAAAAATCCAAGGAAGCATTTATGAAATGCTTCTGAGAAGCTGCTCTGAGTTATATAAAAACAAAACAAACCTTCATATTTGATCCCCTCCCCTATGCACTCTTTTTCTCTAAGGAAGTGGATCTCTAATGCCTTAGAAATGGGCATGAATCAGTAAAACAGTGACTAATTTTGATTCATGATTCATCAAGGTTGATGAATTACAAATAATGAATGTACAAATTTTTCCCAACAAATCAATGAATCAATTTGTTGATTCATTTTCCTTTTAAAGCCCTATAAAATGCTCCCCCCCCCAGCACCTGAGGCATCAAAATAACTGAGAAGCTTTACCTGACTCTCCTCTACAAGCCTTGCAAGTTTGGTTAGCCATATTTTTGACATCCAAGTTATACACCCACAAAGTAGATACCCCCAGGAAAGTGACTGAGGTTGCAGAGACACCGGTGATGCAATGACAGCCTGGCATAGGCATTTTCCTCTGATATGCAGAAGTGGCATAGTGCCATTGTGACGTTCACCTCTATGAAGCACCTACTTTTTGTGCACTCACAAAGGTTCCAGTCTTTGTTTCCCTCACTGCCACCAGTGGATATACCTCCATCCATAATATTAAAGACGTTTGATCAGATACTACATGTGGTTCCAGTCTTTGTTTCCCTCACTGCCACCTGTGGATATACCTCTATTCATAATATTAAAGACGTTTGATCAGACAGTACATGTGAATGCAAACAAAACTTATTCATTGAAGTGTAGCAAAGTTAATAATAATCACAAATGTTCTTCAGTTGTTCATTGTACACAAGCAAATCATTCACAGGTCTCTCTATACATACTTTATTCATGCCATATAATTAATTACCACCTTCTCTGTTTATCTTAACCAGCTTAGCTCTATTAATATCTCTTTTGCCTCTGACACTAACTAACTAACTAACTAACTAACTAACTAACTAACTAACTAACTAACTAACTAACTAACTAATTAACTAACTAACTAACTAACTAACTAACTAACTAACTCTCTCTCTC